TCCATTCCGCTTCGACCTGTCTAGCGTATAGAAAAAATGTGAAACGAGCTAATCCCAACGCTAGTCAACCAGAACGCCATGTCTTATTAAAAGTCTACGCGTTGCTAACGTACACCTTTTGAGTGAATATCAAGGCGAATGTTATGAACAACTCCAAGGTCTTGCTATGGGCGTCGCTTGCAGCCCCGATATAGCTAACCTATACGGAGCTTACTATGAGGAACGTTGTCTCCCTAACGAGAAAATACCCCTTTATTGTAGGTTCATAGACGATGTCTTATGTGTAGTATACGCTGACTCTGCGGACGACGCTCTAAGTATCGCCACCACGATTAAAATCAAAGACGTCACTCTAGAATGGGCAGTGTCGGAGTTTCACACTCCATTTTTGGACATGTTTATTTATATTGATCCTCTATCCGGCAAGGTAGAGCATAAACCTTATCAAAAGGCACTGAACCATCACGAAAGACTTCCATGGATATCTCATCACCCGAAAGATGTGAAAAAAGGCACATTTATCGGAGAGATCTCCCGCCTCGCCACGTTAAGCAGTACGAAAGAGTCATACTGTGAAGCCCTCGTAGATCTTCGTTATCTATATATGGGGCGTGGTTATCCAGAGGTGGTAATTAATACTTGGTTACGGGATAATATCCAAACACGTTGGAATAACAAACTATTGGATAAACCTGACATAAAACGGGACGTGTTTGTCCTTAAAACTGAGTTTAACCCTGCTTGGAATGCTTTCAATGTCAAGGATCTTGGTAAGATCATTACAGACATTTGGTCCGAAACTCTGGTATCACACCATGAAGCCGACCACCAGCAACAGTTACGCGATCATCAACGACGTGATGCCCTTCGAGCTCGCGGTTTGCGTGAGGTCGATCACATGATACTCGATGGACCAGATGCGGGCAATGTCCGCGTCTTGGTTCCCATTGAACCCGGGGAAGCTGCCCATTACCGGTTTCCCGGAGAGTTCGGCATCGCCTTACCTCCGGATCATCCGCAATATTGGGCCGAACGTTATGTAAAATGGCCCGGAACTCCTAGTGAGCGTCCGGTCGATTGGGTATTTCGTGTCCGAAATCCCTTACCTAACAGCCCGTTGCCGGAACACCGACTTGTATTCGATGTAATACGTGCTGGTCTCTGTAATAGAGAATTCCTAGTATCTAGGAAACGAACAACTAATTTGTTCGACCTAGCATCAATGTGGAGAAAATCCATTCTTAACCAAAGTATACAAACCGCAGACGACGAGCTGCTTTTTGCCCTTGAACAAATGGATCACAATGATCATTAAGGAAACTTATGAATACGTTATAGGTTGACAGTATTGTAATTTGCTGATCAACGGAAGCAAACCCAAACCTTAACGTTAACGCTAACTCTAACCAAGTGATGCGTACATAAGCCTTAATAAGCGACCCCTAACCTAACCTAGGTTAACCTGGGCGTCTGCTCTGACAGGTTAACTTAATTTAACTGGTCACGTGATTATAATGTCACACTATTGTCTACCTAACAGCTAACCACGTGTCTAACACATGGTTGAGATACCAATCCGGACTTTGGTCTGGAACCTGCTTATGTGTTATGGCCCGGGACGTATGCCCTCCGGACCTTTACGGTGAATAACATCATCCTGCTTACGCAGGGGGACACATGACCGAACGTTATTATTGTCCTACCCGGACATTAACGTGGGATTAACCACAAACCCTAATCGTTATCTTATCGATTCAGGGGGGATAACTGTGCTCATGGGACCTTATCACTCGTCTCTGATTGGTCACTCTCACGCTGTCGTTATTACAATAAGATCTTCTTTGGAATCGTCTTTGTTCCTAAGAATAACGTGGGCCGACTCCCACGCTGTCATCAGATTGCCTCGGCATTTGCACAATAAGGGGCGCAATCATTGGCTGATAAGCGATGGTAACATGTGGTACTCGGCCCGGATGCGGGTCCGACAATCCGGAAACTGACGTCCTCTCCTACGGAGTAGGGGCCCGGTGGATGGATAGGCCGGTCCGGCCCTTGTAACACATGGAACTACCTCGAGAACGACTCGAGTGCTTCACGCACTGCCGCACGGCGCTGCCTGCCAGTTTGCTATATAAAGAGAAGACTCTGACCACTGAAGAGCATCTTGCGAAATTACCTAGCCCTCTCTCCTAGTGGGGGGTAATCTGGTCACTATCGCTACCTCTTCTTCTCGACAGCCACAACCACCTCGCGACCTTCGGCCGCTCGGTGGCCTCTTAACCTTAAGGTACTTTACTCTAAGGTTAACCTTTCTTACTCTTCGGTATGGTCCGGGACCTTTCCTACCGGACCTTAATGACGAAACAACGTCGTCCCTAAGGGGGAGCCGCTGAGTCTAAACTCTATTATGGTCCGCTGACGTGATAGTCATGACACCTTTATCCGGAATTAACCGGTATCCTCTTCGAGGGAGATAGAGCGGGTCTAGAAAGTGGTACGATTGTATTTGCGATTTGATGATTGGCTGATAAGCCCAGACGGCTTTAATGCGGCTTCAGAACACATGCCGGGCTATCTTTACCCGCGGGCCCCAAACCCTAAGCATGAATGAGTCATGTAATCACCGCTGACTCGGCAATTGGTAATCCCTTGTCTAAGAATAGCACCTACGCGAAAGAACCATGTGATACGGCGGTCTAGATCTACCGGCCCGGTTACCCCAGTCTAAATTTCGCCCTATCTCGGCTCCCGTCTCAGCGGTTCTCGCCCAAGTAGTAAGCGAACTGGTCTTGTCATCGGTGACGCGTGTAAGTTCCGGACTTGTCCACAATAGGACTCCGTCGGAGTATGCGATTTAAAGCGCCGCTACTCCCGCCAGTTTGCATATATAAACCTCTGAAGATACCACTGATGAGGAATAAAATCCGAAACTGCTCGTCTACCTCCATTGAGGGCAGTCTGGTATCTCTTCATCACGCCTCCAGCCCACCGATCTCACTCAGCCGCTTCGCGGCTTCGTTCGATCGCAACCTTAACCTAACGTTCGATCGCCACCCTAACCAGTCCCAAAAAGGGAAGGCAGGTGTCCGGTGATAAGGCATATGGTATTCATAGTTTCGGATATGGATTTTGATTTCAGTTCAGGGGCGAAGACAATACTGTCCCCCGGCAAATTAAGGACAAGCGAAATCAAGATACCCGAATGGTTATCTACCCCCGGCGCCTACGTAAACCGGAAAGGTAGATAAGATAAGACTTAGATCTAATCAGATGATCGCAGATCAAGAATAAGCGTTAAAGCACACCCGGCAAATAAGGCCGAGCGTCAATACTTTAGCGCCCGGTACCCCCGGACCGTGGCACGTGACCGAATAGGCGCGCGCTTATGGAATGTTCGAGAAGGAATGGCACGTGTTATGACGTGACCTTGAGATATATACGCTATTGGTCCACGCCTTATGGCGTGATCATTGCGCCTTCTACTGCGGATGAGTCATTGCTTACCTCCAGCCAATCAGATTAATTGCATTTGATTTAGCGTGTTCGGAGATAGGCCTTTAGAATTCTATAGTGAGTTTTCAGCTTTGTAATTGATTTACATCATCGCTGACGAAAGAAATGTATCTTTTCATTTAATCTCTCACTCTAATAAACCCGTACTAATCATACTTTACAAATGGTATTAATGGCACTGAAGAGACGCACGTCGAAATTGGTGTTAGGACTTCAACTTTTCGGAGTCCCCAATCTGCCCGATACCTCAAGCGCCTCAAGCCACCTAAGTATTTTTTACTTCCCCAGGTTAACCTACGGCTGACCATTGACTTGAGATGTCGTCCAAAAGGAGAGTGAGTTGCTAGCATGAGACTTCTGGTTAGCCCACAGGGACGCAGGGTATAGAATCAAGGAGGGTGATATGTACTACGCAATTGCATCCATGAGCGAATTGTAGTCAGTTTGACGGACCTAGAAAGGACAATCATAGGTTCTACCCGATCCCTTATAACACACCAGGCGCCTGGTGAAGAATTTGATAAACATCAAAGGGATGCTTAAGCTACTGATGGGACAAAATTGTGCTCCGCGGCGGTAAATAAAAAATACTCCTCTACTTCTTCGACGCTAGTCCTTTCATGGACAGCCTGTGGGCCATTTGTGAGAAGTGGACATTTATATCACACAGAGATAGCATGTCCTGCACGTGCTGTTTGAGTTTTTATCCCCAAGGTTTGGGTTCAATAGAGATATCGGGGACATAGAGAAAGGAAATGGCAGATGTAGTAAGCAGATGTAGTAAGTCAAAATTGTGATGTTTGTCATGTTTGAAGCAACATACTTACACATTGAAACGTTGAAAAATCACGTGTTAGCCAATGATGAAATTTGAGATCCCGCGACACCTTGTAGACGGAGCTTTAGAACACAGGCGAGGGGACAGCGTCAACAGAACAACTAGGCTAATGAAGAGGATGACTCAGCTAAGCGAGATTGAACTTAGCGTCAATACTTTGTGCGACAGGAGTTGCATAGCGTGTTCGAGCTAATCCCGCTTGCACTGCCTCTGACTCAGCTAGGGCGAAGTGAGTGGTTGGGTCGGAGGTCAGATTGGGAGTATTTTTATGTTGAGTAGTTCTGGATTTGGACCATCGAGCGTCAGTAGTTTGGGATTAGTTAATGAGCTGGCGTCAGGAACTTGTGACTTTTGAACTGATGTGACTAGTATAGCGCGCACGGTGATTAGTGTGACATACTTCTCCATCATGTCCCCAATTTACTTATCACAAAGTATTGTATTGTGCCAGTTGGGCGTCAGAACCGCAGAACAATCTTGTGCTCGTACCAAAATGGTGTCACCTAGTTGTGTGGGAATTGCAGTGGGTGTATATCTTGAATCCCTTTCCCTCTCACTATTGACACAGCTGGATACCCAGCACAACCACAACCTTATTGTTAATTTTTATTCTCCCTTATGCTGGGGTCGGTAAGGTGCGTTGCCTTATGAACTGCATGCCTCAAATATATTTCTAATGTTGTATTAATAGTCCAGACAACGATCAAGAAAAGGTGCAATGTCATTGTCTCGAGGATCGAGACAACAAAGACCCAACTAAGAGAAAAGGCAGAAATCTCGTAGTCTACATCGATGGTACATCTAACCAATATGGGGCGAAGGTAGGTCTTCGCGTTTTGGGAGCAACTTCCCTTCTCATTTTTCACTTGCAGAACACGAATGTCATCGAGTTATACAGTCAGGTGCTCAAAGGACAAGACGATAATCAACTCACCTACTATAACAGTGGCATTGGAACATATGCCGAGTCTTCGTGGAAGTCACTTAGGTACTGGGCACAAATCATCGATAACAAGGTTGACCTTGCAATTGCCTGGTATGTGCATTGCCGAAAGTGCAAATTTGGTTTTATCATCCTATGGTAGGAACTTTGAGCGCATTATCAAGCATGCTTACCGCTGGCTTTCTGAAAACTACCAAGAAGGAGATGTTATTTATCTTTTCGGTGAGGTCGAGTGAATTATCAGTCACGTAATTATCTGATTTCCATGCAGGATTTTCTCGAGGTGCATACCAAGTTCGGGTACTCGCAGCCATGATTCATGAGGTGCTTCTTTTGCAATCGCATATTTATCATCGTGGGATATAGTGAACATCATGTATTCCAATAGGTTGGCCTTATCCACAAGGGAAACGAAGAGCAAATTCCGTTGTATGTTGACAAATTCTGTACTTATCACCATTGGCATTTACTATCCGCCACAGCGCCTATGCATTGTATGTAAATTCTCAAAACGACCAGCCCTTCCCAAAGGACAAGGGCAGGACCGCCACTAAGGCGACGCTTTTGAAGCGTTTTTCTTCATTGAAAGAGAAGCTGTCTAAGAAGATCGAACCAACGAATCTGAGTCCTCCGATGGAAGACGAATCGCCGAAGGAACGACCTCTCTCCTTAGCAGGCCGCTTCAAGGAGACATTCTCAAGAGACGTGAAAGTTCATTTTGTTGGCGTCTGGTGTGATATCTATGCATGTTTTTCGACTCTGTTCTGACCCTGTCCTTTAGGGATACGGTATCATCCATTGGTATCGTCAGAGGGAAGGATTTACCTGGTACACTGGATTCAGGTCATATCTGCTACTTTCGCCATGCTCTTGCCCTGGATGAGCGTCGTGTGAAATTCCTACCTGAATATGTGCAGGGCGGAGTCATGGAGAAAGTAAGAAAGAAACCTATCGCACAATCTTGATCAATCACCACACAGAATTTGGAAAGGCGCAAGACAAATGGCAAAATGCGAATAGCCGTAGGGAAATCGTTTTCGCGGAAGGATTACAGAGACCTCGAGCTATGCAAATGGATAGGCGCCCGAGAGTTAAGGAGGTTTGGTTTACCGGAACCCATTCCGACATGTGAGCATTCTATACATACTACTATTTGTACATATACTAATGTGCCTAGTGGTGGGGGAATCAACGAGAACCAAGGCATGAACAGTCGGTCCCCCTCATCGTTATGGATGTCTTATGAAGTGATGTCAGCGGGGCTCAATTTGAAGCTGCATGCTTCAGTAGTGGAATGGGACTGGGAACAGCTGGGTACAGTCCACGAGTCGTTAAAGGGAACATGGCACATTTTAGAGTGGCTTCCAGTGAAGAGACTTACTTACAAGAATGATCATGGTCACACTTGGCGGTACGTGAACTTTGTTTATCCATTGAGCAACAATTGACCCTTGGGCTACAGACCTCATCGTGGGGCTGGCCGCCTGATTCAGCCTGGCCAGAAAATACATGTCTCAGTCGCATTCTGCAAAGATTATGGTCCGAGGGCTCAATTAAACCCACATGATAGTCAGCGTCTGAGTGACCTTATTGGCATGGCAGCAGGGCACGATGCAGATGCCATCTATCGGATAGAAGACTGGGATGATATAGTGGAGATGGACGTCTTTGATTATTCTAAGGCTCACGAGGTCATTATGGATATGAAAAAACTCAACGATAATACTCGAGATGTGTGGCTCCACCGTCTAAAGGTGATGTTATCATCAGGTATGTATGTATATTCAAAAGACAGTGGTGGAGGTTCCTATAAATAACAATTACACTATAGCTGCTGGACGTCGCAATCTTTGTCAACTAGAGGATTTGCCCTGCCGTCTGTTACAGGCTCTCGAGACTAAAATGACGGATGAGAATTTTCAGCCACAGTTGTTGAATTTGTTGGCCCAGCTTCGCGAAGCAGAACCATGGAAAATAAGGTGATATTGTATCCATTTTCCTGTCTTCCTGCTATCACTCATGTCAAAATTCAGCTTGCAATCATCTGCCACACGTGGTGCTTTGGATCAATTGATTAAGAAGGATGAAAATGTTAATATTGTTCGCGATTTTGTGATGGTGTTTGCTGACTACTGTGAGTCTTGGTATTTTATCAGCATATCTGAAAATTGACGAACTATAGTTTCTGGTGAACTGGGAGAGCGTGTTCCCGACTGGGATGAGCGTCTTATCAAAATGCTGAATCCTAAGGCAAAACTCATCGGTCTAAAGCTCGCAGCCATCGATACAATGCCAAGTTTGGCTGCGTTAGGTATTATATTTCACGTCAGGAAGTGCTGAAGCTAATGAACACACAGGCAATTTACGACTTAAACTTAGCAATGATATCCTAACATTGCTGTCTGAGAACTTAACGTCTCAAGACAAGGAGATTTGCAAAGCTGTGCTCAAGGTGTTACCGCAATTAATGGTGTGCGGTACATAGTATTCAACTCATATCATTCCAAACGGCTTTGCCTGACAGAAATTGCAGACGAATTTCGGCCAAGGCTGCTACAACTGAAATTTTTAGCGGCCCTGGAAGAGCAAATACGGGATGACGACGCAAATGCGCCCGAATTAATCGACGGTTATGCTCAACGTGGTATGCTGCTTGTTAATTTGTTTTGCATCACTGCCGAGATACAATCCTAGATGACTGTCGAGGGAAAATGATTGAAGATAAGTTCTTGGAGTTTCTACAGACATCAAACTCTATCCAGCAGCAGATATCAATATCGGCACTTGGTTCTATTGCACGGCTAGCAAAATATGGCAGGGTTCCCACATTTTCATATTTTATCATAGCTAACGGTTCGATAGACACACTTCGAAGTGTGATGTTGGACCATCACTTTCTTAACGACATAAGAGATAGGCTTGATAGTAGCGATGAAGATGTCCGACTTGTCTCTTTGGACGTAGTGGATGCCTTCGCCAAGTATGGTATGTTTTTGCCATTCTCCTGACTTTTTGGCGCGGTCGTTTATGGCTCGTCAGATGATAGTTATACCCGACTGATAGAAATTGGCATCGTGGATCCTCTCCAAAAAATGTGCAATGATACTAGCTGGCAGACCAGACAAAGATCTCTTGAGGTTGTTGCGGGATGTGCCAAACATGGTGGGCATCTTTAAGATGGTGCGTCTGAGCACAGTTGACACTCAACAGAGGTAATACGAAGCGAGATGCTGGAATCTCACTTTCTTGAGGATTTGAGAGATAGGCTCACTGATAGTGACTGGGATGTGCGACGAGCGTCTATGAAGGCGATCACAGTCTTGGCAGAGCATGGTAGGCCATCACTGCCCCGCCCGATCACTTTCAGCCCTGTTGCTAACGATTCGTCAGACGCAGGTCAAAACGAGATGCTTCAAGTTGGTGTTCTGGACTCTCTCCAAAAATTATTCCACTTTACCCACTGGCAGTCGAGACACTCTTCCCTTAGTACCGTTGCTGAATGTGCCAAATATGGTGGGCGTCTTTGAGATGGCGCATTTAAGTACAGCTGACAGTTGAACAGAGAAACTTCTAAACAAAATGCTGAAATCTCATTTTCTTGAGGATTTCAGAGACAGGCTTATTCATGACGATAATTACCACGTGCGTGAAGCATCTGTGAAGGCAATTGCAGTGTTTGCAGAGGATGGTAGGCTATCACTGCCCTGATCACTTTCAGCCCCGTCGCTAATGGTTCGTCAGACACATGCCAAAGCGAGATGATTAACATTGGCGTTCTGGACTCCTTCCGGAAATTGTTCCATCATAGCGAGTGGGAATTAAGAGAATTATCTGTTAGTGCCATTGTGGAATGTGCTAAATATGGTGGGCATTTGAGCTGGCTCGTTAAGGCACAGCTGACAGTTCAACAGAGATACTTCTAAGCAAGATGCTAGAATCTCACGTCCTTGAAGATTTGAGAGATGGGCTTAGTGATGATTTCTTCAACGTGAGACAAGCGTCTGTGAATGCAATTGAAGTCTTTGCAGAGCATAGTAGGCCATCATTGCACTGATGACTTTCAGTCCCTTTGCTAACGATTTTTCAGACGCATGCCAAAACGAGGTGCTTAGAATTGGCTTTCTAGACTCTCTCCAAAATTTGTTCCACCATAGCGAGCCGAAATCAAGATGTTCATCTATTGACGCTGTTGCGAAATGTGCCAAACATGGTGGGCATTATTGAGCTGGCGCTTTTACGCGTAGTTAACAGTTCAACAGAAATGCTTAGAAACAAGATTCTGGGACCTCACGTTCTTGAGGATCTGAGAGATAGGCTCAGTGATTATGACTCGGATGTGCGGCGAGTGTCAGTGAAGGCAATTGCGGTCTTTGCAGAGCATGGTAGGCCAACACTGCCCTGATAACTTTCAACCCCTTCGCTAACGATTCGTCAGCCATATGCCAAAATGAGATGCTTAAAATTGGCTTTCTAGATTCTCTCCAAAATATGTTCTTTCATACCAAATCAAAATTAAGAATATCATGTGTTAATGCCATTGCGGAGTGTGCCAAACATGGTGGGCATCTGAGATGACACATATGAGCACAGCTGACTGTTTAACAGAGATACTTCGAAACAAGATACTGGAATCTCGCTTTCTCGATAATCTCAGAGGTAGGCTGAATGATAGTGATGAAGATGTACGATTAGCGTGTGTGAAAGCAATCACAGTGTTCGCAGAGAACGGTATTCCATCACTGCCCCGTTTGCTTTTGATCCCATACTGACGATTCTTCAGAAGATTGCCGCCGTATGATGAATGACTCCGGTATAATGGATGCCATGTTAGATTGCGTATATATTCTTTTTATTCATCGGTGGCACATAAGGGAGGACAGTGCCGATATTTCAACACATCTCGCGCAGTATGGTAGGCGACTCTTTTCTTCTCGTAAACGAGCATGGCTGACGATTTAGCAGAGGAAGTCCGGGTGAAAATGTTGAAAGCTGGATATGTTGCCGGTCTTCAGAAGATGCTTAATGATCGCTATAGTGATGCCCGTGTGCAGGCAGCATCTAAGCGGGCACTTGCCGCCATTCAGGTTAATACACGGGTATGATGGATATGGATGACAATGTAAAATGTTTTCTTCGACCATACGGCTTTCGATTCATAATGAGTTAGTGCAGAGCCGAAAGATGAACATGCATATATATGTGTGTGTTTGGACGATGCATCATGTTAAAGCACCCATTTGGTAGACATATGGGCATACCCCCCTCCAGCTTCTTGATAGACACCACACTACATTGTGGGACCTTTCTTGACACGTCCCTGCTGTTATGAGAACCACATCATTCAAACTCATAAATTTCAGCCACTCCCATGAATTCTGTGCTACTCACAGCTTATCCCCTCATGGACATATTTGTGGCATGCTGCACAGTGTAAAACCGAGAGGGACATTGTAGCATCCCTTAATTACAAGGTGTATGTCCCTTTTGCTGCTGAACGTTGAGGATCCGTAAATCCATTGCAGGACTGTCTGATTTTCCTGCCGGGAGCTCAGCGCTCGACGCCTACGGGTTGAAACCTTTCTGAAATAGATACCTAACTTTAGAGCACCTGTATGACTTGATTCACGATATAGAACTCTTGGGAATATGGTAAAAAGATATCCTTAATTAATTAATTAAATCAATAGTGTCGGGATAAGATGGTGATCTATGCTGCATCACAGCTTTGCTTTGGTATCCTCCGGCGCCCTCCTATCGGCACGAACAACACCTTCCTGGGTGGTGACGGCTACCAAACTACCGGCGCGGGAGTACAGCTGAAGGAAAGAGGATATCATTAACCAGCCGATATTTTGTTGAAAAAGGGATGGGATTTACCCGACCTTGCACGATGGCCCTTCCAGAAGCAGCTCGTGGGCAAACAACCTATGAGCACATCATCAGTCAGAGACAAAAACTATGGAAGACGAAGATTGACGTACAACGTATAAAAGGCCATCTCCACAATCGAAGTCATCACTAAACAATTGTGAGTTGAAGTTCCCAGCACTAATAACATTTGCGTTTTGCGTACTTGTAGTAATATATAGAATGGTCCAGTGTCGACTAACGGTAGAATATGTCAGATATGTCGGAACATCGAGACAAACAACAAATTGAACTAACACTCATGGAATGTGCATCCGGGCCTCTGGCATACCTCTTTAGCTTGAGAACATTAGCGGCGGCAGTAATGCTGTTGAGTAAACCGTATGATCGGAAACATGTTCCTAAATAATAATACTGGGACATACAAATTCAAATCCGAAAGATAAGCCAAGATGCACTGAGGTTTCGTATATTAGATATTTTATGCTGTACTTTCATCGAGGGAGGCGTACTTTTTGGAATGGCGCTTCATAATGGGGAATACTTCGTGATTGCATCCAGTACATTGAAGTGATTGTTCCATCCGCGGAAGAGTCGTCCCGCTTTGCACGTCTAACTGCTATAGGTCCCTTCGTACGCTCCTAGTGGTCACAATAGAAAACAAATATCCGTTGAATCCTTAACAACTGCCGTTCAGTAATTCACCAAAGCTCACCTCAGTATACGTCAAATATATTTCCCGAACTTTCTCATGTAACCCTGGCCTCGACGCAAGGCGTCGGAACAATGTCTCTTCCAGCTCACAGTCCTCTAAATTCGGGACGTCGTGTGGCATAGGCCATTGGTACGTTGGTTGCCAGGGTTCTCCGCGGTGGAAAGAGCACAAGAGATGAAATATGATCTTTCCATTTTGAACAGCCTTGACACTCCGGGTACTATAGGACCTGCCTTCCCGGAGACGCTCGACGAAGTAGAGGATAGGGACAGCGGGTGATGCGCTGAGTAAGAAATAACACTCCATGCAAGAATGAGCACGATAAAGGGAAAAGACCCGTGCGCCAGGATTGATTCAAGATACTCACATGAAGAGACTGAAACATGGGACGTCGCATAAACTTAGGAACGGTCCATGGATGGCAGTTCAAATGGGACTTACATGTAACCCAAAGCCAGGATCTACACAGTTCGTGGCAGATACAATAGCTTGCGATATCACTTGCCCTCCAAATACGCCTCGAGCCCGTGTTGGAACCCAAAGGGCTTTCGAGCGAAATAAATTTACTTCGATCTGCTCGACTTCGAGAGCAGTGGTGATTTTCTCGTGTTCAACTTGGTCGGTGTCTTCCATCGTGAAACTAGAAATGCGAAAGAGATCAGGACAGCTTGATAAAAGGATTGGAAGGGTTAAATGGTGCGATGCGGTAGTCCCTTCATAGAAGGAACGAGACTTTAAGGCCAGTGATTGGCAGTAATATCCTGAGGCGTGGCAGACGGCTAAGAAGTATGACCGGATTGCTATTAGCAAGCGCACTTATGTAGCGCGTGATTATCACCTGCTACTTATTGATGACATGTGTTGTACAGTGCAGGATACAGTGAGCATCCAATGACAACAATGACAACGAGCATCCAAACAGCTAGCTGTCAACAAAACTAGTACAATAAGTAGATTTAAATTAATGAACGAGCTCTACTATTCAAAAGACCTCCACATCGATGGTGAACCCGCATTCATGACAGACCTGCTGTCCACCTCCATCAGCAATCCCTTCGACCACACTAAATACGTGTTTGTGCTCCTTATCCTTCCGTCTCTGCCAGACACCTTCTCTCGTGCGCCTGCGCAAGTCTTTCAAGGACTCTTCAAATTTCTTGTTTTTCTTCTTCTTCTTTTCAGCTGTTCGCCGTTCCCATTCTGCGTCTAACGCCTCGGAAGAACCCCATTTCTTCCATGCAAATTCCTCCACTTGAAATCGTAGGAAGAGCATCATGTTTGCAAACGTTGATTTGTGAGGGTTCGCTTTCAGAAGATGAGGAAGCAAGTCGTGATCTCGAAGCTCAGCTGTTAAAGTCAGAAGATAAGGGAAAAGACAAATTGGGGTCAAATAAGAGCGCACAATCAGTGAGAAGATAGTCCTATTAACAATAGTCAAAAGTATGACCTCGTTGTTTGACTACTCGTAGCGTACCTCTTTGCACTCGGTCTTTGTGAGTAGACTATATTTCTCTGGAAAATCATCTTTACATTTATTGCACACCAGACACCCGAATATTTTCTTGAACGTGTTGTCAATGTCGATGGACTGGCACTCTTTGCATTTAGGATTACGTTCTGGGTCCAAAAACACAGCTGGGGTACCACTGTCAATACAACGTGAAAGAAGCCATATAAGCAGAGGAGCGTACGAGGTTCCACGTTTTGCATTGCCCGCTGCCGTTCGCGTTCGCGTTCCTTCACTCTCGAGTCCTCGTCAAACTCCTTCCCATCTTCAACCAAGAAACCACCCTTGGAGTTAACCATCTTGGACAAATCATATTCGAAGTATTTTCCCAATCGCGAGTCGCGTTTCAGGGGGGCGGGAGTTGTCTTAGGTACCGTCGGAGAGGTAGAGACAGCGGGAACGACACCGAGCGGACGTTTATTGTTTGCATTTAGAACAGAAGATGCACTAGAGGATGCTTGCTCTCGTTGACGTTGCTTGGCTTTCGCTGCGAACACCCAAAATCGGTGATCTTATTGAAAGGTGATCACGAATGTTTGTGCCACACGCACCTCTTAGCCTGTTTATCTCTATCTGTTTTATCTTCTCTGGAGTTAACTGAAATTCAGTAGAACGAGACGGGTTTGCAGGTGGTGTAGAAGGTCTCTGTTCCTCCATGATATGAACGTTACGGTCCTTCGATGCAGTATATGGGTGACCTGTGAGCTGCATATAAGACAGGGCGGCAAGTGCCCTGAATTCCGATCTAAATTATTCCAGTGAGCGGATGTGAACCAGTAACAAGCATTCCTGTCAGTAACCTTGGTCAAGGACCTAGTAGTACTTATTGTGGTCAATCGTAGTCAGAGACGTCGCGGTGATTCCGGGATATTCATCACCGTGACGGTGACCGTAGCGAAATTCCGTGACTCTCTTGAAACATGTATGGATTGTGGATCATTTGCTTCGATTTCGACCTCTTGGTGAGTCGTACTACATTCTGCGTTTTCCCCTCATCGTATTTTCTTCTCTTTTCCTCCGTATAGATCACGAAATATTGTACCCAGCAACTCTCCGGTGTACTGAAGTCAAGTTTACTACTCCTAGTAATGCAATCGAGCTCGTGGTCGCAACCTTCCGTCCTGCAGAAACTCCCCATCCTTTCTTGGTTGCGTGCTACTTGATTCGGCATTTTTCAACATAGTGAATACGGCAATGTAGTGTATGTCACCTTGATTCCATCTGGTAGGTAGGATGCATTCAGATGTCATCGACTTACATGTCTTCACAGTAAATCTCCCATCAACTTATATAAGCTAATATTTGTTTCGTAGACTAGTGTTGGAGTAAAAGTATATGTTGATCTGCAAGATATCAATCAGTTTCGAGTTGAGCACTTGGCGTCTTCGCTGCGAGTAATGTTCTCTGTCAAGGAATGATGGTGTGGGCCTGATTTGCATTCTGAAGTTGGGCGATGGCATCAGAAGATTAAATAGATTCTACTTTGTTTCGTATTAACATTTACTTATTTACTGGTTATCTTGTTTTTTTGCTTTTCAAATCTCTGGCTCTGTCTTGAGAAATTCTTGACTGATTGGTTAGAGGGAGGCTCTCTTTAATCTGCCATAGAAGATTTAGCAGATGACATTCCTAAAAATCTACTCAACCCAAGGACGCTGCCGGTCCTCTACAATGCATCTTGATCCAGCGTAGCGGTAGCGAGACATGTATACATTCAAAGTATTAAAGCGGGTCGCTGAGCGAAAAATCCTGGTGCTCAGCAGTTGCAGAAGAGCGTTGAGTCTGGATAAGGATCTGTTCAGACTATATCTAACAGGGTACAACGGACGCACTACGAGCACAAGCACGTGAAAAATATCACTATTACAATAACAGTCACTATGGACGGTTCCAAACCATAACAGACTCTATTGGTTGGTTGACTCTACCTACCTGTCAACCGAATCTCTAACCATCGTAAGGGGGGGGGTAAGACACTGCTGCAAATCCTGCAGCCAACTTTTTTGCACAAAAGATCAATCACAAAATGAGTGCTTGGGTGATAATAGCTAGGGCTTATTTGACTTACCTCGGACCCCAGATCGGCACCGTACGCCGCGCCTGCCATTTTCCCAATAGGGCCAGTGTACCAAGCCTGAGATGAAATCATTTGTGAGGTTCACATGAAAAGAGCTGATCGACCTACTTCTGACATCCCAACAACAGCGCCAGCGACGCCACAGCATGCAGCAAGAATACCAGCAACACCCAAAGGAAGACTTCCCCAAAAGAAAAGCAATCAGTCAACAATAAAGGATATGTAACACTGTAACACCAGCACTCGCAGTACCCACCGAGACGGAGAGTCATAATCATCAAGATTATACCCCCCAAGCACGCCATCTTTCCTACGGAATATAAAATGCTCCTCTGCTACGACAACGATGAAGAAGGCGATCCAATAGCTGAAGATGCTCAGGAAATTCGTCATGATATCCGAAAAATGGTTACGCCCAGAAACGGCTGCAACTGTGTAGATAACAAACACTAGGGATACCCAGAAAAAGCGTGGAATGAGTGCGAAGGGCCGACCCAAGGCCTGAATCGAAAGGCCAGCAGAATAGGTGTTCGGGATATTATTTCCGCTATCAGGGTGAATACATGCATCAAGTAGACTTGAATTTCAGTTTCGGGGGGAGAGACTTACACAACAGAGAACGCGAGGAGGAAGAGGATGAATTGTCCACCGTGTCCCCATTGTGATAAAACCTGACCGATCAGCCCACCAGTTCCCCCTGTCTCATAGGCTTGGACATAAACAGGGTCTGTAATGGTCATCAAAGCAGCGCCGAGGGTCATGACGAAACTGATAGGAATCCATAGCCCAAAAAATGTCAGCCAGAAGACCCTCCTGGGAGACGTGTCTGCGGGTAGACGGCAGTTGTAGTCAGCTGCAACGGGTGCCCACTGTAGTTTGGTTTGTTGAGGAATTTTGCTATATTCGGCGAGAGAGATGACCTACGCCAGTTACTGAACCAAAGACAATACCGCCAAAGCTGAGGATATCAGCCGATAATGCTCGTCCAGTATCCTCAAATGGCTTCTGTGCATGTATATTGTATCCAGCTTTCCCGCCGAGACCGTACAAGAACAACATAATGAGGAACGTGATAGTCCACACGTAGCGCTCATAAACGTGTACAATGTTGTAGCCGATAAAACACGGGACGAGACAGCATACACCAATGATGATTATTCCTACGACGAGGGGAAGGGTGCCGGGGTTGATACTAGCAAGTGTCTGCCCTCCTAGGATAACTGCCATTACCGAGAAGCCGAGCCTATGCATCATGAGCTAGTAAGCATTTAAGTAAGGGTCGGAGCATACTGCGTGAGGATGTTGAGAATGGAGTAGATAGTCCCACCGACATGCCCTGAGCTGAAGCGTGTGATGACCATGGTACGTAGACCTGTTATAGGCCCCAAGGTCGCGATAAAAGCAGTCGCAACACTTCCCAATGCACCAAAGCAGAAAATAGTCGCAATGGCATGTCTGAACAAAATTACGGTCAGTACGGGACTGCAGAAGTAATCTAATAATGCTGACGGCAAGGTAAGCGTAAAGCTTGATTGCGCTGCTACTCCGATAGGAATTGCTGGGAGGACCATATTGACAGACCTAGCAGCAAGGTGAAAGTAGTTTCGCGAACCTCAAATGGATGAACTGACCACCACATTAGCAGACTAGAGAACATGTAATGCCATGATTCTTTAGACAACTGAGCATAAAGACTCACTTGTTCCATATATTTTTGGCTTCTCGCTGATCTTCTGGCACCCGCTCGACACCTCTTGCCTCAACTCCACTGGCAAAAAGTTTGGATAAGAATGGACCTAGCACTCCAAACCGTCCCGCAATTACGCGATCAGGCGCGACTTCAACCTTGAGCCTCATCTCTGGCTGGGTGTCGATACACTTTTCTTTGTCCTCAACCGAGTACTCCTGACCATTATGCATGTTGTTGTCACTGTTTGGGAAGCAACTACGACCTTGAAGGAGAGTGTCCAAGAGTAGAAGACGGAGAAATTTATTGTCTCTGCAAATTCGACAGTTGCCAGATGTCACTGTATAGAAAGACACCTGTTCGACATTTCTAGCGATAGGAATAAGTGACTGGCCTTTTTTGTACACCCGCTTGCTTGTTCGGCTCGTTTACATCGAAGCTGTCACAGTGATACTTAGTCCCGTTCGATACCGGAAAATCATGATGATTTCCAGACTCCAAACCAGTTGGCGGGTCAGGCTCCTCCCCAACCACTTTTCGAGAAAGGAGTTTTCCACTCAGGTGAAGTAGTCGGACAAGAAAGAGACCATGAAAAACCATTATCCAAGGCTTCACCGTTCGATTCACCTTTTTCCCCCTATTCAGCACAGGGACTCAAAATACCATCATTTACTTCGCTGCAAAGTACAGGCAATAAGACAGCAGTGTGAAACTTGATCAATCGTTATCATTCACTTGAGCTATGAACTTGTTAAGATAGATGCCAGCGTAGTGCGCTCAACAATGCAGCATAAACATCACATAACGAGGCACACCCAGATATGCCTCGTCGTATGATATACACACCGCATTATTTCGCTGTTGGCAAAGCTCGACCACAAAGCCCCTGTTAACCGCAGATGAACATGGACCTAGTTAGATACACAATCAGCCAAAGGTTCGAGACTAGTTCATAGAAGGATATGCAGGCTATTGATGACCGCGCGTTGTACAGTGCTTGAAGTTGCACGGCAGTATATCCATAGGTATGAATGGATTATTCGTCACTCATCGAGATGGAGAAATGGACACTGAAAACCGATATGTTGGCTTGAGCATAAAAGTGATATGCATCAACATACGATTCGAACGAAACCGACCCTACTCTGATAAGATGACGGTGAGTGGCGGTTAGAGGGACGCTGCGCAAGAAGAATTCACTTTATCTCTTGCAAATGAAAATACGGCGTCACCCATTGGGGCGTATTTGCAATGTGCCAGTGATGGATTCATGGCTAGAAATAGCCATCGAATGATGTACACGACCTGCAAGCCCGAAACCCGTTGCCCTGTAATGCCCGCTGACTGTGACTGATATTTTGATAACACGATAGGTTTATGCAATCATTCAAGCGATAACCTATGGCTGGGATTGTCGTCGGGCATTGAACAGGGAGACATAGTGGTAGTAGGAAGAGATGGGTACTGACGAGAGGCGAGAAATATAAGAGTAGTCCTACCATAACGTCACGGTCACGTCGATCGCCCTCGTAAGCGAGTATCGACATGTTTCCGATGAGTCCGACATGTTCGCTCGGGGCCCCTATACTCAGACCGTTTTTATGCTGTCATCCCACTGGCAGACTTTCGATTTCGCCCACCAAAGTCTGACACATCTGAGTCCTGTCTCATTTCAAAAAGTGTCATGCCTTACTTTTATATTGCAAGGTCAGTTCTCTGTCATCGACTTTGTGTTCCCCCTTTCCTCCGCCTGCCCATTCCTATTAATTCTCAGCGCTGACGTCTCACTTCAAATTTGTGCTTCACCGCCATGTTCCACATATCCTGCAGGAAGACGTCACTCATAACAGCCCTCTTTGGCGCCGCTGTCAATTTTGCACTCGCAGTGCAGCTCATAGGCGCGTGGCACACGCTCAGCTGGGAGGTCGAGAGTGAGTGGGAAGGGTCCGGGTACTCGATAAGCAGAGACGGGATACGTCTCATCTGTGCTCTTTTCGCCACTTATTTCGCATCCGCATCATCGATATGTTTCTTTGGACTTGTAGGGATCCTAAAGGTACGCTCAATCTACTCCCATCACATCACAATCGTGGTGTGCTAATATCAACCTCCTTTACTCTCAATCCGTCAAATAAAACAAGAGTAACCCTTCTTTCGTGCGCGTATACCGCGATTTTTCGATCTGTAACTTTTCCCTTAGCATGATTCTAGCCTTTTCATGTTCCACAGCAGCTCTCCGCCCATCTGTCCGCGTCAATACGTGCGAGCACCTCTCTCGCCAGCCAGATCTCTTTCGTGACGTCATTGGCCTGGGTCTCAACCTCGAAAATTGCGAGGAGTGGTTTGAAAGCGCAGCATGGGCGTTCGTAGGAGCTGGTGCAGTGTTCACTGTCATTCGTGTAAGTCATATTTTCACTAATATATTATACACACTTACGCATATATCTTGAAATGTAATAGTTCCACTTCCTTGTCTCACTTTCGAATTACTACACCCACCTTCAGCGATACTATCTGCACCAATCGTTTCCCCCCAAAACCACCCTCTTCAACACACATCTCGGTCAAATGGCATCAGAACCCAAACCCCTTTCTAAGATCTACCTCCTCCCTACCACTACCTCATCCAGACTCTACCATGACGAAGACTGCGATGAATACGAAGACGAGCTAACCCCAATCTACGCGCCCGTCCCTCTCAGCGTCATATCGCAGCAAGAGGCACAAGAGCTGCGTGCTAATGCGTCTGAGGCATGGGTCTCCCTCGAGTCACGCACACGCTCGCTCTACGTTCGCTCACATGTTGATGCGCAGAACCAGCTCGAGGCACATATCTCAACTGGATCCGCGCATATATCCGGGCACGAGGATATATCGCCATTCTTTGATGTTAAGGTATAAATGGGACGATGTATGTGATTTTTTCAAAAACCCGCAGATGCTGTCTTTGGCATTCTCTAGTAGTGCCTTTCCATTTCGACAGTGGTGTTTGGTCTGTCATATACGTTTATCTTTATCTTGCTCACTGTTCCATTCCTGGTCTGGCTTTCAGGCAGCTTTCTGTATCAATGTATCCGTTTCTCCAGCTTTTGCTTCCATCTTCTGCTCTCTCTGCCACTAGAATCAACGAGTCGTATCTGCTTTGTATAAATATCTTTATTAATGGTATTGTATTATTCAATCCAGATGTAGTGATATTCTGAAATAAGCTTGTACACATGTATATTCTTCTTCGAGTAATGGTTGTAATGAGTACACTGTGTCACCTCATACTGAATTCAACAAGAGAAGTACATGGACTGCTGGGAAAGAAGAAACGGCTTGTCGCTGGTGCTCAGATCATTGATGCAGAAATATTTTACAAAGCCAGCTGCCTGATTCAATAGGTTCTCAACCTGTCCCAGCAGACCTCCACCATCTAACATGACCGTCTTCCCCGCCACTAACAAATGCACCTGCACTACCATTCGTAGATGGCTTCAAACGCCAGCACACGCTCCATACCTCGCCCGTGTCTTGTATGGTAGATACAGCCATACGGGCGGCTATATCCCAAACTTTCACGGTTTTGTCGGCAGAGCTTCATTAGAATGTCAGCGAGTGAAGTGATATCATGAAAATGTCTAAAACAGATTACCCAGAGAGAGCCAAGCGGCCATCAGGCGATATATCGGTGCTAAGCACCCAGGAAGAATGCCCTGTAAGGGTTGCAACGGCACCTGAACCAGGTTTGCCGGAAGCTGATATGCGGACATCGTGAAGAATGAGACGCTTATCCTCCGATGCAGTTAATAGTAGCTAATGGTCACAAAGAATCAATTCAGTAAAGTATAATGTAGGGGAGGAGAAGTACTAAACAAATGAGTACTCACCTGTCCGTCAGCAGACCAAGCTAATGATCGTACGGCCATGGCATGCGATGAATAGGTAGACATTAGAGCACCAGACTCTATGTCAAATAGAAATACTTGTCCTGTCTCCGATGAAAGTGCTAGACGTTTGCCATCTGGGCTCTGCCAAGAAAAAACGAAAACTATCAGATGGAGATTATATATCTAATCGAGATAATTCTGAGAGCGTAAGAAAAAAAGTATCTACATCTCTCGTTACGAAATAAAATGAGATAAGAAGGACTTACATGCTTGCAATCCATTCCATGTTTGTGGCGACCGCTTGCGAGAGACCTTTGGCGCGTCCCAAAGGAATCTGGATCAGCGGAGTAGATGTGGACATTTCCTGAACTGCCCGTCCCAGCGAATGTCCCACCTTTAGGGTTGAGAGACACAGACCATGCTGAACCGCATAAAACAGTAAGAGGAAAGTGAGGTTAGCAAATATAATTTACAAGCAGTCCAAACACCTAGTGAGTAAGTACTTACACGGTTCTGCTCCATCAGAGGCAGTACGGTCGTAGCTGTCGTGCCGACCTAGTATCTTGTCGTGTTCCAGGTCCCAGAGACACGTCATTCCATCAAGGCCGTTATATAAAACAGATCGACCATCAGGAGAGACTGACAAAGAAACAATAGCAAGAGTGTGAGCCGGGCGGCATAGCGAAACTTGTCCAGAGGTAGAGTCCCACTGCTTTACAGTTCCGTCAGCAGAGGCGGAAATTGCGGTGTCATTAGCTGTCCAGGCAATATCCCAGATCGCATCGCTATGGGCTGTTAAGGATTACCGGGGGGTTATACATCGCGCTGCAACTCGAAGCTAAAATCACTTCATACGTTCTTTGCACTCCAGCGCATTTAGGAATGCAAGACTCTACTATGGACTGGTGAGTGGTTAGTTTGCATATAAGCAGCAACATACCATAATCACTTGATCTTTTTGAGTTCAAAAATGAGAACTAGCGGAGAACAGTAACTTATCTCGAAAGCCTTGTCGAAAGCTGGCTGCCGTCGGTCCTAACCGAGCGGACTCTAAACATGGCCTTTTAACCTTGTAGGGATTAGAACCTTGATTTTTCCTCACATCAACGAGAGCGGACGAAGACATCACTCAAATTTTCTACATTTTTTTAAATCCATAACCAACAAAAGTATGGCACTATACTCTGAAACCAACTACTCGAATATTTGGCTTAATCCGATGAATTCAGGATGTCTGACGCTGGAGATGAAATAAAAGTCGATGTCCCAGAAGTCGAGGTTGCTGCTGAGGCTCCGAAAGGTAAATTATCGGTTGAGGAGGCTCTCCAAGCAAGTTTTGTTCCATCAATGGGTTGCGATAATTGAGCTAAACATCTTGTCATCATTTTAGCAAGTCTTGAAGAACGCCCTCGTTCACGATGGATTGGCTCGCGGTCTCCGTGAATGCGCCAAGGCCCTGGACAAGCGCCAGGCTCACTTGTGTGTCCTTGTCGAAACTTGCACAGAGGCCGAATACATCAAGCTCATCGAGGCTCTCTGTGCCGAGCATAAAATTAACCTCATCAAGGTCGGAGATGGGAAGGTGCTCGGAACCTGGGCAGGATTGTGCAAGATCGATAAAGAGGGCAACCCACGCAAAGTCGTCGGCTGCTCTTGCGTTGTCGTCAAGGATTATGGTGTTGAGAGCGAGGGGCTCCATGTCCTCCTTGACTATTTCAAGACCCGCTAAGTGAGTGGACTATTTCGAGCTTTTTTTCCCACTGGATGACAAGACAGACTCCCTCGACGGAGAATTCGTTCGATGAGGAAAAATGTCTATCCGGAATCATTATATTTTTGTCTGATTTTCAATGGTTCTTCAATCTATCTTAACCTTTTGCTGATCCTTTGTCATATTTCAGATATCTGTAGTTAGCAGTAGTCGATCATTCATGTGTCCTGTTGTTCACCCGCGCTCTTCTGATGATCATATTGCCCGACTTTGATATCCTGGTGTGATACCATGCGTGAAATTCTCAATCCATAGTCTTCCGGTATTTCCTGTGTCCTGAATTTTCGACGCGCTGTATAGTACGTCCAATTTATCCACATTTTAGGTACTGGTGTGCGGCGAACAGACCATCACACGTTTGATATGACGAAGATCGAAATAGTTTGTTTTTTAAATCACAAATTGACAACTAGGGATGAAGGTGCATAGTAGGGTATCAATGCATAGGCACGTAAAGCAGTACACGAAATGCAATTGTCTATTGTTCACCTTCGCCTCATTCTCTTTATCGTATCGTCGTTTTTGTTTCTGCACAATCGATTAAGCTTTAGTCATGTGATTTCTATCCGGGCCCGGCGCGCAATGTAAGTCTGCATCCGCTATGGCTACCACGTTCTGGTTCTGTGAAATTCTAAACAGTGGATATCTCTGCAAGGATTGTTGTTAGACAGTAACCATGTCTTCCACTGAATCCTCCCCCGATCCCCCTCTCCAGAGGACACCGTCCTACATACAATTTACACCTAGGCATGCAATGGCGTCGTTCGAGAACTTGGTTGCTCTTGCAAACCATCAAGAGCGTCTACGAGAGGCACGGAAAATGGTGTGGAGAGACCGGGGTGAGCCCGCAGTGGAGCTTGAGGATCTATGGGAGTGCATTGAACACGCCGGACGAGGGGGCATGAGTGCGTTCATCCTCCTTATATCCGCTTATCACAAGGAATCACCCATCTGGTTTCCGACATGGCGCAGGGGCTGGAGCTATTGCTTTTGCGATCAGAGCAAGCGTTAACCTAGTTCTCGCAACGATACGGATGGGTAGAGTGCCTAAGTATGTTTTGTATATAAATCACCACCATTCAACAGGACTCTAACTTTTGAATTCCAGGCATATGCGTATCGCTCTTATTCGACATGCAATTTTTGGACAGGACTCTTTTAGGTTTGCAGCAATGCTAGGTAATATCCTGCCTTTTCCTTGCATTGACATAACTGCGGGTTCCTTGTGCGAGAAAAGATTAAGCTTGACGTGTTATTTCGACAGGGTCTTTTGTTTCTTTGTACAAAGCCCTCTTGAACGCATTTCCAATTATATTCCCTGTTTCAAAAATGCAATCCACGTTACGCCCCTCTCCGTTCGACGACGAAGGTGATATGCTCGAAGATGACGACGCCATGGAGCATACATTGAAGGTTCCCCTCGCCCAACGCCAGGCACGTTTGTCTTTGACCGCTCAAGTTCATCAAATTTGGGTGCACAAGAAAACGAGAAGATGGCACTCCTTACTGGCCGGTGCAGTCGCCGGTGGTTTAGCAGTCATGTTTGAGAAGAGATCCCGTAGAATCGTGATCGCCCAGCAGCTCTTTGTTCGGTGAGCAAAATTAACTTCACTTCACTTAGGATCAGGGAAGTAACGCGCGTATATTTCAGTGGACTGCAGGGCTCATATAATGCCTTTTCCTCTAAACGAGGTATAAACCTTCCTCATGGAGATGTGATTGTCTTCAGCCTTTGGTATATTTTGCGACTCCCTCCTCTGGTCATAGACATCTCATCAATAAATATAGCTCTGCTCAAATAGTTTATGCTTTCTTTTCCCGTCCTGATACACTTCCCCGGTCTTATATAGCATGGTATGCTCTATTTTTTCCCTTCTTGACAGGGATGTAAAGACTTTTGTATTAGGTTGACTACTGCCTCTGGGGCCCCCGCAGAAGCTATCCGTATGGTAAGAGATATCAATCGCACCAGCAAGTTCGACGTGGGAGATCTAAAAAATATACTGCAAAGAGAAGTATGCCTTCTTTTTGAAGCACTCCGATTCCCCTTCATCTCTCATATCCATTTTTGCCTTAGGATTTAATTCCAGCCAATAGATCCGTGGTCCTAGATTCGATGCAGCTTGCCAGTGCGCCAGTGCCAAATTATGGTACTCCTTACCCGCCATGCGCAGCAGTGCATCCTTGGGTAGCATCATGCACTCGTGTACCACTGCCCAGATTTCTGGCCGTGTTCAAATGGGCATTCCCTATATACGGCGCCTTACATTTCGTGCCTATGATCCTGTTCAAGAGGCACCAATTCCTCAAAAATCCCCTGCATATGCTGACAAGGGCAGGGTGGGGGACAATGAGAAGTTCCGCATTTCTGTCCACCTTTGTCGCGTTCTTCCAATGTGGGTTTCTCAGCTCATTGGTCGTGTTTTAAGCTTGATACATCTGTGTACTGTAGTTTGGTTCTGCTTCAAACATTGGTTACATGCTGTGCTTTCCACTCAAACCATAGTCAAAATACCACAGGGGGTGATCGATTTTCTAGTTTCAAGATACTCCTTCGGTCTAGGGGGTTTCCTCGGAGCACTATCTTTGTTTGTAGAAGAGAAGCGGCGCCGTGGGGAGCTCGCAATGTATGTGCTGCCAAAAGGCTTGGAGAGTGCGTGGTTGACAGCCCGAGGGAAGGGTTGGGTATTCAAAACTGGAGAGTCTGGTGTAGTGCTTGTGAGTAGTGCTTGTGAATGCGATGATATCCTGTCATTGACTCTTGCATTCAGCTTACTGCAATGGGGATGGGGATGGTTATGGTGAGTCATGTTGCTAAGACTATTCGACCTGAATTGATGTGCGTATAACTGTATCAGAGTATATACCAGGTGTGATTTCATGTTGCATGCGAATGATAACGTCCGGGCTGACGAGATGACTTCAGCACGACCCTCATCATCTCTCAGGGCTAGTTCGCCGGATATTATACCAGTTCATTGGGGCGAATTGATGCTTTTATTCCCCTATACCATACCAAATGTTGTATTTGCTACTGTTGTTTCGTCGGGCTACTATCAAATGCTAGTCCTCATTACTTGTGTATCATGATCACCGAATTACGGCTGATGCGGAATTTTCCGTACTAGTTGGACTTGGATTTGTATCTGACTCGTAAAAACCTACCATGTCTGATCGTTCCTCTTCCAAATCCACAGGTTCTGGGCCAAAACCACTAACGTCCACGGAAGATCCACTCAATAACTCGACAGCAAAAGGCGTGTTCGCTCACTTGCAACCCTATGCGCGGTCCAAGTTCAGTGGCCTTCATTCCCGCAGACCTCTTCAATATATATTGACCTCATTGCTGTTGTAAATGTTTCATCCTATTCTCTTATATCCTAAAGAGGACCTGCCTTAACTCTAAGTACACTATGTGCGTGAAGTTTAGGCGTCGTGCTTTGACTATCGGATGGGCTCATTTAGTGCAGTTGCATTATCCGCTGCTGTTCCACACACGGTACTTCGGCCGAGCGTCTACTTTCCCCAGTATGTGCAACGCGTAGGGTTCTCGCTAGTTTTTGGAGGAGCAGCATATGTACTGGCTACTGGAGACTCACGCAATGGGAGTGGGATTGTTACGGGTGCGTTTTTCTGTCAGCCTTCGTCTTTTCTTTTTGCGCTTCAATTGATGTATTACACGGCTGTTATTTAGCTTGGTCTTTGACCTATCTATTTCTCCATCTTCGGAGATCAATAAAGCCTCCTCACCACCCTCTGACACTTGCCATGACTGGAGGTGCCACGGTGTGCGCTGGACTTTACGGGACAGAATACTTTATGTATCAGACATGACCAACCTGTCATACGATCTACTAGTGTTATCACATTGTGTTATGACAAGTCTTAATTGACGTTGATAGGTTTAAACTTTCGTGTCTATTGACGAGATGTGCCATTAAAAGAAAATGATATATGCGAACGCCCAAATAAAAAATAGTATGCCCATAACGACGAGAGTATACAACTGGAAAATCATCCAGAGCAATAGCGAGATCTATGATAGGAAGTGATAGCTGTGTGGAGTCGAAAGACCTAGACAAAATAAGGGAGCCTGTGTTCTTCGAAAAAGTTGGAAAACATGTGTACTACATTAGGACAGCGAGATCTTAGCTCAACTAGGATATGAGGGTTTTTGATAAGAGTAATCATCCGACAAGAATCGGAGTAAGGCAGCGTTGACTTGGCTAGGATGTGTGATGGTTATTTCATGTCCACCTCCTTCAATAGTCACCAACTCAGAGTCTGGCACGAGGGACTGTATCCGTGAAGTATATTTGTATGGGACGGTTATATCAGTAGTGCCCTGGGAAAGAAAGAGGAACAGACGATTCAATGAGAATCCCATAATGTAAGAACAGTTTGAGCTTACATGGATAATCAGGACACTGTTCTGTGAACGAGAGAGATTCGAAAATACAGTAGTAAGACCACGAATGGGCCCGTCTCGTAGACAAGAAGCGACCGCAGCGTTGTATCCAGGTAGATGAGCGGATTGGAACCGCACGATCTAAGGAAAATGTAATTAACAATTAGTACTCCGGATACATGAACTGGTATGGAATTACCTCTGCTATAGGATCAGACGCAGTCGTCTCGGTGGAATTTGCTAGACGACGCATGTAGTGCTGTGAAAGCCGTGTGGACAAGAGATAACCCACATGCGGGGAGAAGTCTTACCTGGAAGGGTTTGAGAGATGTGACAGTTTGAATTAAAGGAGAAGACATGAATTTTACAGTGCGAGAAATATCGTCGGACTGGTTATACCTAAGTATCACGAGATTTATAAGGAGATACAGAGAAGGGTCATACCTCTACCAAACCAGCAGACGCAATAAGGGCTACTTTCCCATTGACAAGCTGGGGGAACTGAACTGAGAAGGCGGCCGCAACTGCACCACCCTAATTAAGATAATATGAGTACGCTCCTGTGTCTTTGAAACAAGATGATTGTACCATGGATAAGCCAACGACATGTGCATTTTCCCATTGAATGTGTTGCATTAGTAATGCAAGCTGTGTGGTATGAAGTGAGACATCATATGTCGTCTGCGGTGCGTCTGAATAGCCTCTTCCGTATAGGTCTGCAGATCAGTATCAGACATGAGAAACTCCACCACAATGCCGAAGAAGCCATTGTACGGACCGTATAAAAGTACACGATAACCATGTGTAGCGAGAACAGGGGCTACATCCTTCCAAACGATGGAAGGTATTGATAAACCATGTATTAACACAACCTATAGGATTAATATGTCTCGATGTTTCAATATACTTGTTAGATTGCGTATTACACACCTTTCGGCCATTTTCTGGTCCTATCAGCCAATATCGAACCTGATGATTGAACGGCGCACATCAGAGCATAATCACATATGCGAAGAACAAGACATGTACTCTGCCGTAAGGAAATGTGGCATAGGCTCCCCCTTCATAGAAATCCTCAGGATACAAACTCCAAGAACGAGCTGAGGGCGGCAAACTAGATAACGAGGGGTGAATGGGTGGCGCGTCTGGAGGATATGGGAAGCCAGCAAAGAAATAAGCGGTGAGAAAAAGAGGCGGAAGGATCAGAAGGGAGAAGGTGAGGCATTGGAAGGGATTCGAGATAACCATGACAGGATATGTACCGTAGATTACAAGTAATAATGAAAACGCTGAACATGAAAGCCAGACGAGTACGTTTCGTAAAAACACGCCACGCCCAAAAATCATACCATGTCACGTGAAAACCCAACTCCGACCCGTCACGTGATGCGAACCGCGCGTTTCTGTGGTTGGCGTTGTTTGGCGTCTTTTGATTTCTGTAAAACAACCCAAGGATTCTGAAATCGACGACAAGCTCACCAGTCTACTGGCAGGGCCACCACTGAATGCCCTAGAGTACACCAATGGCTCAAGTTTATCCCTCGCTGGCGCTGTCAGATATCGTGCACATCATGTCACCATCTCCAGTACCACAGGCTTCCTTAGATGACTCCCACTTACTCCGTCAGAAGAGCTCTACCCCGGAACCACTTCAGGAGTCCGAAGTCCAAAAAATGAGAACGAGAATTGTGGACATGGGTTTCTCTGGTATCGACCAGGTAAATGCAAGTTCTCGTGAAAAGGAATTATTGGACATGGTGCGTTTTAATTGACTACACACTTATGCGCAGGTTTAACGCTGTCATGAACTATCCAGATCACGCGCTTAACAAATGCCGTGCGCCTTGACCCAGAGCAGCTTATGAGACAAGCCAGCACCATATCTAGGCTCACGGAGCAAAGGAGCTATCTTGTATATCAGGCCGAAGAGCAACGGCTAAGATGGGAATCCGAGAGGGATGGTTGGACACGAATGGCCGAAGCCCTTATCGGCCAACAGAATAAGAATGCTGGTTCAATATATAGAGAAGAGGTAAGCAAGCAATTCCTCACCACATCCAGGAGAGCTAGGTTTTGGATGGCGCCATATCGGGGAAGATGCTGGCACATTTCTAACTTCTCAGGCCGTCAAATTTTCTTGCTAACATACACCTGATTTTACTCTGTAGGATACCGAGCGGCAGAAAGCTGGCTTTGAAGCTGACAATAAGGCACTTCGCCAAAAGGCATGTCGCAAATCAAATGTTGAACAGAGATGTTACGACGTACTTACTATAATGCAAATATTCAGCTTAATGAAGCACAATCACGGCTTGCTTCTCTGGAGGCTGAACTTGGCCGTCTCCGTCCATTGCTGCTGATGCAGCCTACGGCCGTGGATCAGCCATCATCTCAGGTGGGCCAAGATAGGCCAAGGCCATCTCGACGACGCAGGAAAGATTTCATCTCTCTTATCGCCGAGGATGAAGATCAGCACATGAGTGACGACGAAGTCGATGAATTGGTTGAAGATAACGATGCTTCGACACAAAATACCCCAAAGCGCAGACCTCGAAAGCAAGAGCCACAGTCAATTGCTACGTCGTCAAAGAAAAGAACTAACCTGAAAAATTCATCACGCCCGATCTATTCTGATGCACGCGCAGAACATCTCCTACTAGCTGCAAGAAAAATAGGAAAGCAAAGAGCTGGCATAATGTCAGGTATCGTCCACCATGTCGATACCAAAGACCGGGAGAAAGATAGGGGCAGAGACGGAAGACGCGAGGACACATCTACAGCTACCACTTCGCCAAGGACGCCAAGACGGGCGACAGCACCAGTCACTCACCCTGTTGGCGGTCATATACAACCTGGTGGCTACGTCTATATGAATAGTCCCTTGCATCATCAAGGCAACACTGCAACTCCTATACCGGTTCTCGTACCTGTTCCTCATGGTTCTTTCCACCTTCTACAAACTCCAAGCTCGTCCACAACCACCGCTTCTTCGTCACGTCATAAGTTATTTTCCGAGCCACTGAGCCAGAGAAAGGTTCCCCAGACTCCACTAGATTCCTTATTGAGTGCTGCTCGCTCGATGATGGATGACGAGGAAGAAGAAAGTATTGGATCAACCGCCACGAATGGCTCGGTGAGGCGCTTGCGAGAATTTTCATCTCACGATATACCTGAAAGCCCCCTGCCAAAGCGAAGGAAGATCGCTCCAGCTCTAATACAACGTGAGAAAGATAATCCATCTGGTGAACAAGTAGCGAGTTCGGGGGGAGCAGCGCGCGTGCGATCTGCTTTGGATGTTTTAGCAGATCAAGCGGCAGCCTTCAGTTCAAATGAACCACAACCTGCCAAGGAGAAAGGCAAGGAGAAGGGAGTGCTACCCCCCGATACCCAGGGTATTCCTGGATTGCTGGCTGACTCGATAGCGCCTGCGAGACTCCCGCATAAGGAGCGGCAAGCGCGAAGAGATGATACACCACCAGCAGTAACACCCATACCCACAGGCCCATCGTCGCCACCTCGTACTCTTGAGAATGAGCTTACTCTTACAGATAACTGGGCTAGCGCTCCGCCCAATCTCCGTCCAGTCTTGCGATGGGACGAGAGTTCCAAATCATCTTCATTAATAGATCCTGGTGATGCAAATACACCAATTATTGTAACTCGATCTCAGTTAACTGGGGAGACTCTATCAAGTACAGAAATTGATCACACAGACTCCCGGAAAGACTCGGATATAAGAGATACACAGAGTGATGATCTGCCTCCTTCCGAATTTCTTCAAGAGACCCAAATACCTCCTTTACGTTTTCCTGTCGATGCATTTTCACCTCCTCTCGTAGCGTCACGAGCACATAGCGAAGATAGAACAAACGCACGCCGATCTCCCGTCGAATGGGTAGCCTCCCCCTCTGTTATACATCGACGGGCTACGTCGATACCTGCCTCATCAGGTCGCGAACAACCTCCACTCAATACACAGCTGAGTACGCATGTCCGGCGCGACACTGCGCCTGAATCGATTAATGTCAGTGGACATGAACATAGTTCCAATAGTAAACCCGTCCTTGCTGCGGGTGCGAAAAACAAGGAACTTGCAAGAGTTGCAGGTCAAAGTGTTCCTACAAAGCGACAGCGTAGTCCATATGTGAAGTGGAGTAAGGAGGAAGACGAAATGCTCGCACAGGTGAGCATCTCTGTCGTTCGGAAGGGAACGGTCTGATTACTTCGTTTGCCATAGGCTGTTGCAAAATATGGGCAAAAGTGGGACCTGGTTCAAAAAGCTCTACCTTCGAGAGGGTATCATCAAGTTCGTCAACGATGGCTGCGCAAACTCGGTACGTATATATATATTTGCTCGCTGATTGCCATTTCACGCTGGTTTATTTAGGTGTTTTTGACAGCAAACCAGATTTGTCGTCATTCCAGACCAGTAGCTTTTCATCAGGGACGAGACCACCGAATGGGGAATTGGGATCCCCTACTCCTAGCGAGCCACCTCCCAATCCGAAATTAGGACTTGCACCTCTAAGCAGCGAGTTGGCATTTGTGACGTTCAACTCCAGAGGTCCTTCAATCCGGGAGGCCAGTTAGCCAAGTGTATCGTAAGAGATTTAGTGCAGTATTTACAGGATGATATTTTTTTCTCTCTTCCGCTTATTCCATTTTTTTTGGTTGCATTGGATTCAATCTATATATATCTGATATTCAATCTATCTTTTGTTGTAGGCATGTGTGTATGTATTTTAGCTGTGATTGTAGAAGTGTTCTCCCGACACATGTACTTGTTCAGTATGAGGTTTGGCACCTCTGTACCGAGTCGACCACCCTTACGCAGCACTTTGGGGAGGTTCCCACGCATCGTCAGATGGGTTTCTTTGAAGGGAGTACTATCGTTGGACACCGGATGCAACCGGTAAGAGATATGCACTTGGGCCTCCAGAGGCTCAACGATCACTGTACAGGTAGCTAGAAAATTGTTAGATGTAGAATATAGTATATAGAATATAATTGTGAAAGAATTTAGTGAATAGCTTATCTGTAGCAACAACGACAGACCTGACACTATGCTCTTGAACTCCAGAAGTGTGAATTTTGAGGGAAAGATGGCCAGATTTGACCAGATCTCGTGCTGGGAATATTGCAATATCTTTCTAGAAAACGTCAATAGGTAGGCCCCTACAATGCCAGATACTTACTGAGCTGATTGGGGCCTCAAAGCGTCTGGAGAAACGAAAACAATGATGGAGTCGTGACTAGGCGACCGAAACAGGCAATCACACACCAAGATAATCAATCAAGGACCGCTAGCTCCGCTTCGGTACGTACCGCACATACCACCAGTGTCAGGACTTGGTGTGACCTGGCGGAATTTAACTTGTAAGCTCCGCCTGATTTGGTCTGTGAGTGCCGTTGTGACCCAGTGTGACCAGAAATTGCAGAACCATTCCAAAACATGTGTCGTCTTTTCGGTTTTGTTCCGCTGCTCCAATGCTTCAAGTTATTGCTTATTTTTCTACATAGGCAGCTAGAAAACTAAAAATTATATCTACTGGTCAAGTTCCGACAGTCTAAAGCTCAACGACTGATGAGTTATTCAACTTCTCCCCAGACCAATTGCACCTATTGTCCAACGATAGTAAGGGCTCGTATGGGAACTCTGTTTTTCCTGAATTTTTTTTTTCAGCCACAATCTGCCGGGATGCTGTCGGAGAGACGGATAGGCATCCATCCCATGAGCTATGAATGGGTAGGTATCATACTTCCATCAACCTCATATCTACGATAACACATTTTTGGACCTTTCCTTTTATTTTCATTCTCCACTTTAACCTTTACTGTAGTTTTCACACTCCGTGCCATGCGGCACTTTCCCTTTGTTCAAACTCCACCTTCTCGCACTACACCGCCTTTCTTCTTATTTTAGATACAACTCTCTCACACAGTAGAGCTGGTCACACGGGCTAGGCCCTATGACATCATCAGCCACTGCCTCTAACAACTGTATAGTACATACGTACAAACAAACCTGTAACAGTATATATACCTCAATAGATCCAGGAGACTCCTCAGCGAGTCCTCCTGTTGTTTACCCACAACTAACTTGGTCCTATCCTAGGTGTAACCACTCCCTTCACTACCTTTATAGTTGGTTCTAGTTGTGCGCCAGAGTAACTAACTCTTGGTCGTTACATTTGCCCATCTGTCTGCGGATAGAACACCATTGATAATTTAGGTTTGATGCCCAGCATCCGGCATAGTTCTTTTGTAAATTTGCTAGCAAATTGGGGCCCCCTATTGGAGACAATGGTTTCTGGTAACCCATGGATAGACCATACAAAATCTTTAAATAAGTCTGCCATACCTGCGGCTGTAATAGTTTTATTTGTGGGAATGAATACCACTTCCTTGGAGAAGCAATCAACTACCACCATTACTGAATCATACCTATTTGACTCTGGTAGACCTGTTGTGAAATCAACCAATATATCCTGCCAGGGGCCAGCTGGTATTGGATTTGGAATAAGGTTGACCATGCCAGGCCACATGTAGTTTCTGGAGATCAATTCCATTGTTTGTTGCCACCCAGGGTGCCCAGCAACTGGGGTGTTGTGATGTCTGTCTATTGGCTTGATCCTTGCGGACTCAGGCACATAGATTTTGTCTTTAAAATGGAAGAGCCTGTTGTCATGCACCAAAGTTGATTGGTAGCATGGACAAGTGTCAATAACGAAGCAAATATTCAAAAAGACTCGCCTTTGCGCCACACAGGCACAGTGCCACGTGGAATAGTAATTAATATTGCCTTTTTCGAACTTGTGGCTGATCAGCATCACCTCTATTAGGCAATCCAGTCACGCTCACCTTTGCTTTTCCATTCGGTACTTTCCGCGTTTCAGCATTTCGGCAAATTTTCGCATCGCCACTGGCTACACATTGTATTGTGCCCTCATTTTTGTTGTTTCCCTTACTCCCCTTCCTTTGCCTAGCCCCACCATGGGCCCCTTCCTCTCCTTTTTATTCTCACCTGACAGTTGTTTCTGGATCTCCATTCTAATCCACTTTTTCGTCACCTCCACCCTCCTCCTCCTCATCTTATTTGCACCCCCACCATTTCTGATGTCACCACTTCCTATCCGCTTCCGTCGCCAATCCGTTGACTACCACGTGCTACTGCTGATATCAGCAAAGCCCCGGCGGCCGGTTCAAATAGGGCAACAGGTCCATCTTTATGACGTCGATCTACCATCATATACTATCAAAACATCGGTCGCTCGTCTTGCCTGGTTGGAGCGTGGGTGGGTAGTTTTTGAGCTGGAGAAGGTTCATCCCCTTGCGTCGCCCATGTTCATCGCTGTCCCATTCACTTGGGTACACTTATCTTTTGTCCATCATCTTCGCTATAGCTACACCTACCACACACTGCCTGGGACTCACTTATTCCAAATTGGAACTACTCCTCTCCCTCCCTCGTTTGATCAGGTGGTCCAACACAACCAGTCCATTGGTAAGGCCATGGAACTGTCGGATTTGGACTAGGTGGTGGACCGGTGGCTCCAGTTTCTTTTTCTTCAGCAGAACATTCATTTACAGTGCAATTATTTTTGATTTTTGAATCATTTTTATGGACACATATTTTTTAGAATGCCTGACTGACAATAAAGGAACTGTGTTGATACTGATAGTGTTTTGCCTTGCCTTTTTTTTACTGCATCTTCCCATGACATCATGATTTTCCTGCTCTCTTTTTGCTATTGGACTTTACTTTATGGCTATACAAACCTGTGACATTACTCACAGCATTCATTGTTCTATCCCTTTCTTTTCCTTTTTTTGGCAATCTTATCCTGTACTACCTATGCAGGATTTGTCAGCGTACATTCCTTCCTTCATATGGTTTCTCATTCTTTTTGCACAGCTATATTGTGCATAGCCTACTTTTCTTTTACTATATAAACCCCTGTATTTTACCTTGTAAAACAACAAGAACTCCAATCCAGACTTCTTCTCTAATTTCAAGTTCACTACTCTGCTGCTTGTGATCCAGTGTGGTCACAACACTTCCCACTGCTACCACTGTCAACTGCTGTCATCGTCACTTCCCATTTTTGAAGTCATTGTCATCCCTTTCGGTTAGAGTTCTTCTGAGCACTACAGTTTGTGCGTCAGGAGCCTGCTATCACTGGGAACCTTGTCACCTTGTCATCCTCGTTGTTCTCAAACCTACCTTGTGCTACAATTAGCAAGGTAGTGCTCATCTATACTCGTCACTAAGCACCTATCTTCTATAAATTCAACTATCCCTCCTCCTCAAAACCCACACTCATACACCTCTGGGTTTTACTTTGAAGGATCTTTATACGTACCACCCCACGAACAACCAGAGCACCCACTGTTCTAGGAGGCAAAGCCCATAAACAAGTTCCGTGGAATCTGGGAGGATTGTGTGTTAGTTTGTTTTTGTGCAGGACAGGACCCCGCTATAGCAGACACAATAGTATACTGAATTTCCCGATGCTCTCAACCCGTCATCTGCTTCACATGGGAGACCCCGTTGCTAAAATGCCGGGCACCAATGTGTGCATGCATACTCTTGTATCAGGCATCCAGCTTCTCCTTTCCAACCATTTCTTGTTTGTGCTA